GACATTTTAGTGTTTCGTAAAAAATATTAGCTCATTTTGATTTTGATGGGTGGAACAAATGTCAAAAACTTTGGGACGGGAACAACAAAAAGCTGAGAAAGGAAGTGGTAATAAAAAGAAATGGCTAATTAGGTTAAGTCTAATACAGCTGAATCTACAAATTGTTAAACAATTTAAAATAATGGTCATCAGTGCAAAAGACTGTAAATATCTATACAGTAGATAATATCATACTATCAGCACTTCATTAAAAACATGCATGTCTCTGCCATGGGAACAGTTCACCGTCCATGACTGCAGGTTAAACCTCTATCTGGCAAAGAAGAAGCCATATGTGAACATGATCCAGAAATGCCAGCTCCGGACCAAAGTTCCTTTACAACAGACTGAAAAAAGTGGAAAACTGTGCTGTGGTCAGGAGAATTAGTTGTCTGGACGCCGTCTTTTTAAGTGAAGGACTTGCATATTTCAGCAAGTCAGTTCTAAACGGCATACTGCATGTATTATAACAGCATGGCTTCGTAGTACAAGAGTCTGAGTGCTGAACAGTTTCACCAACTAAAGAAATAAAATGAAAAATACGACAAAGGAGACCCAGGACTGTTGAGCTGTCAGAAAGGCAAGTATGAGACCACGTCCAGCAGTTAGTCCCCTCAGTTTCCAGAGGTTTATGAACTGCTGTTAAAAAAGAGGGGATGCTACACAGTGGTAAATATGGCCAACTTTTTGGAGATGTTTCACTCCCATCAAATCATTTTAAAAATGGTGCATTTTCTTTTAATTCAAAATTTGCTGCATTTTCTAGAGTGAATAAAATATGAATTTTTATTCACATTTACAAATCATCCCTTTTTTTTTACCTTCATTGCACATGAAATTCATTTCCTACAGTTATTGAATATTTTAGCTACCTGTCTGCATTAGTGTATTTCAGTGTATCTCCTAGTCCTTTTTACTTAAACCATTTCTTTTACACAACTGAATGTCTTTTTGCGTGTAAGTCTTTACCCAGTAAGTTTTCTGGGCCGCTCTAAGGACAGGCATTAATCCCACTTACAAAATAACTTAAACAAGCAAATTTAAGCTTTTTTGATTCTGATTTTCAAGTGAAAGGTTGGAGGTGGTTTGAGTGCCTGTGGTTAGCTATTTGTACCAAACCACAGTCCATGTCTCAAAGATTTTTCACGTGCAGGTTTAGTGTGATCTGACACACATTAGATGAAACAGTGATGCAATAGCAGAAATACAGCACTCTACCCATTCTGCATCATTTTGAATGTCGAGTTTCCTGTAATCCCCTATTAATGACAGTTGCCAGAAGTGTGACTTTTTTGTTGAGGACGTAAATGTTTATCCACACCTGAAAGCCTATTGAACCTCAACTCAAGGCATAGATAAAATCAGAACATCATTTCACTGACAGAAAAAAATTTAGATTTTCATAGCAATATAGTTGTTTTTGCTGTTTAAGTCGGAACTGGTGGACAAACCATTTGAGTCACAATTGCTTTAGACAACACTGATGGTCTAGTCCAGGGGTCGGCACCCTGGGCTCGCATGCCACAGGGTTAAGTGATGGCACGTCCATAGCTGGACTGGCAATCGGGCATACCGGGCATTTGCCCAGTGACCGATGGTGATTTTTCGTTTTTATGGGCTGATGTTTTTTGTTGCTGTTGTTTTTGTAACGGTATAAACAATGAAAGGTGGTGGATTGGACAAATGCTGGCCAATTTTTTAAAAATAACTCAGTTGTTTGGTGGTGCCTATGGCGGAGTTTCCACAGAGGCCAGCAGGTGGATGAGGAAAAGGGGAGGCTGGAGGAGGAGAGACCCGAGGTGGCCGCCGGTCCAAGTGTCAGTGAACTGAACTTCAGGTAAGAAGTTATGACCTGCAGCTATCTGGGTCAGATAAAGAACACAGTTTGTCCCGTACTTCAGCTAGAATGGAAAAAGACACAAAGCTGGAGTTATTCTGCATCTTTACGCTGCTTGAATGAGTTGAAGGGAAGTTATGAACTGTTTTCTGAGAGACAGATAACACCAGGATCCTTTTTTTTCTGTAGCTGACAGCTGGTAACTGTGCAGGAGCGAGTCTAGCAAAGTTGCCAGGGGGCAGGTAGGGCATTAACAGGGAAAGGGGGGCACAAAGAAATACTTTTCTTTCTTATTCTCATTTAAAATGTCTCGCTTTTAATAAATAATTATCTGAATCTTACAACCAAAGTTTTCCATCCAATGTAAAATGTATAGAAATCATACATATACCACAAGACAGACATCACTGTCACAACAGCGTTTG